TAATCCCGCTTAATCCCTAGCTTTTATTTTTAAATGCTCCATTTATGACTGTATAAACATTTCATTCATCGGATAAAAAATTGATTGATGTCAATTTCAGAACTTCGAGAGGACGATAAACCGGGGAATTTTCATTTATCGTCAATTTAGACCAAATTTTGATACAAATATTGACATTTATCTAAAAATGACTTTCGATTTCTGAAATACTTATTTGCAAAATATTGATAAGCAAAATATGCAGAAATCAGTATCTTGTATTTTTTTTAATTAGTTTTGTTGATTTTCTATAGCTACATATTGTAACTATCCGTTATGCTGTCGTCGCTTCTTTAAGACTCCTATTAGTAACTTCCTCTTCGTCGCAAAGTCTTCTCAATCTGTCTTTCCTCTATTCTCCCGTCCTAATCCCGCAATTAGTGCCTTATATATCGTGCCCCAGCCCCACTTTTTATTCGTTTTCCTCGACTTTTCACGTTATTATTTTTGGGGTGCCGGTGAATTGCGCTCACTTCAAGCACGGCATTTTAATCCTTACAGTGGACTGCGCTCAGAAAATTTGTACTTACCTGCTTTGCGTTAATCCTTTATGTGAACTGCGCTCAGGTCGGTCGATATGTCTCAGTGTGATGTAAAGAATTACATTATTAAAAATTAAATTCCCAGGCTAATAAAAATAGGGATGAGTCAGTTGCAAAAATGTACTTTGCATTTCAAAATAAACAAAAACGAAATAGATTATTATTAACATTTACTGAACACAAATATGTATAGGTATCCATTACATAACAGCGTTTTAAAAAATTTGGTCAAACTTTTAAGGTAGACATTTCACAAAAGTTGATCGATTTATTTGCTTCACTTTCATTCTTTTTTTAATTAAAACAAATTTTAGAATTCGCATCCCAGAGAATAATGTCAAGTGCCAGCGGAAATAGGTCATTAAAAAGTGCACCCGAAGAAGTGCTCACTAAAAGTTCGAAGCACCAACCCATGGGTGGGTACCCCGTTGCGGTGCTAGTGGGCGCAGTTCACCTTAAGGATTAGCGACCCTTATTAGCCTCAATATACTTGTTTCTAAAACTGAGCACAATTCACCGTGCCCCTATTTTTGAACTTAAAACGTTTGCCGATTATTATCTCGTTTATATGCTTTTACCTACCTGTTCGCTTTCCCCTAATCGGAGATGTTATTTTTCCACATAAACTCGTGTTTGTTTCATTCTATCGGCGATAGGCTACTGTTATGGTACTTTTATTACCGGAAAATGGGTTTTAGACCCTCGTAACACGGTCGCGATTTCGAATTTAAAATGATATTTCAGCGGAGTTTTTTTTTCGCACGGATAAACGATAGGCATTTTATTGTTAAAGAAAATATTATGTTTGCGATCCTTACCCTTAAATTTAAATCAAAACGCCGGATGATATGTGGCTACTTTATGTGGCACGCTTTTCACAAACCATAAAAAATATGAAGAGATTGTTCGGTTGCACACTGAATCCAGGCTTGTTTTTTATTTGGGAAATAATTCGGAGACTGGGGGTAAAATAAACACGACGGTAAGTTTATTTCGCCGTTTCGTCATTTCTCCTCCAGAGGAATTTATTTGTCGCCGACGTTCGGGCATGAACTTCAACCTTTATACTCTTAAAGTCTGCTTTTTATTTCACATAATTCCATTTTTATTACAAATTTAAATGGTTTATGGAGCGTTTTATCTAAATTGGAGTTATGGCTGGCCACAAAATTCAATTCCTTGCATATGCTGCAGTACTTCCGCAACCACTTTCTTGAAAATAGAGATTTAAATAGCTAGAAATGCATACATTTTAAGCAAGATATATTCGCAGCAAAAATTAAAATTCCTGATCAAATATTTCAAGCAACGTTGACAACATAGACAAAAGATACAAAAATGTTGCCAACTTAATTTCAGAATCATAAACCACTTTTATTAGAAATTTAGTTTGAAGGCATGTATTTTTTATACGATAATGTGATTCACATTTCTTGTTGATATTCATGTTCATTTGATTCATAATAAATATGTAACACTATAGGTGCAAAACTATAATTATGTGTCGATTACAAAGCTTTTAGATTTCGTTTTAGACATTTATACCGATATATTTTTAACTGATAATGCAATTCATGAATTATTTCAGTTAACTATAGAATCTACGAAAATCATTAAGGTACCTATACTTTAACTATAGTATATAACTACTTTAGTTATTGTATTAAGGGCATAATTAGGAGATTATGGCATGAGGGAATGTTTAAAGCCCGAGGAACGAAACTGCTCAAGGAAAATTGATTCCCCATAAATCAAAGGATTTGAATGTGAAAGAATATGACAAGTATTGATACCATTATTTGAATGATTAAACCAACCATTGCTTGCCAGATTTTTGACAGTTCTGTGCCAAAAAAAACAATTTATGCCCTCATTTGGGGCGTATAAAGATGATTATTGACTAAAATAAAATAAAAATAATAATGTCATATAACACGTTTTTACTAATAATGGAAATATTTATAAAAAACAAATTAAAAGTTGATAACGTGAATAAAGTCCAACTTGCAACGTTACAACATCTACATCATATTTTCAAAAGAAATCCAGAATTCACAAATCCACATCAGTTTTGTTACACAATGAATAAGTGGTAATTATGTACTCGTAACAATATTTTTGAACTTTAAATAATTCTTAGAGATGATTTTTGTTTTGTCATAAACAAGCAGCAAAAACTCAAAATACACAAGTAATAGTAGTACTCCATATTATGTTACTAGGAGTAAAAATGTTAGTTTTAGTGGCAAAGCTGAACGTTCATTTTGCCAAACACAGTGAGGCAGATTGAAAGTAAAGAGCAACACTATTATTAGCAAGTATATAAACAAAATAATCAAGACTCTTTGCTATAAAATCATAACAACAGTTATTAACAAACATCACGCCTCAGTATTGGAATTTGTGTTGATATTTTCGAAAACGTTAATTAATTTAACTAGTACATGACTAGTGCAGATAGTAGTGCAAACTGTCAAATTCTGATAATCTACATTGTACCTTTCCAGAAAATGCTGAAGCAGCGAAAGAGACAACTTAGTAAATGTCAGTAATGTCGTAGTAAAAGTAAAAACGCTTTAGCGCAAAAATAGAATTTTTATTCCATGGCTGAAAAGTAAAACTTTTACTTGTTACATTTAGTCACAAAAGTAATCACTTTTGTGACATTTGCAGATAAAGACATGTTAAAATCTTTAAATAAGAATTGTTTACCAGGTGTAAAAGCGACAAATAATTACTTTTAGAACATTAAAGGCAAATCTTTTGGGTAGACTACCTATGTAATTTTATTCCTTCATATGTATTAACAATAATAAAATTTTCACTAAATACGTAAGTATGGATAATGAAATATTTTTACATTACCGTTTATGGGTTTTATGTATTACATATACAGGGTGAACATAAAGTATGGAACCAAGCAGTTTTATTTTTAATTATTTGCCCCCAGAAAATAATAATTAATATAAATTAAAGTAATATAAAAAATGTGATCGTATTTTCTGAACAAAATTTTGTTTTATTTTTGAGTTATGCGATTTTTTTTGTCAAAATTGCAATTTATGTGAAAAAATTTTATTGAAAAAATTAAATATAAAGCGATAGTTGTAATCCTTAGAGTATAGCTTTCATGAGAAAAATGATTTTAAAGTGGGTTGCCTGTTTTTTTTTGTAGAACTCAAAAACAAAAGGAAATTTCGAAAATTTTTATTCTTGTTAAATCATCACATTTTTATAGTACTTTATGACTCATCAATTAGTTTTTTCAAAAAATAAATAGTTTAAGCAAAAAACGTTTGGTTCCATACTTTTTATTATTATAATTGTTATAATTTTAAATGTGATTCAGTTACTGCTTTTATTTTATTTCTTTGTATTGCGTTTGTTATTGTTTTGTAAATAAAGCTTAACTAAAAGTAATATTATTTTTCAACGGCTTCCATCCACTATTCATCAAAATATTTCACTATTAATACAATCATTGTTAATCGGCATGTCATATTTTTTTTAATAAAAACAAACACAAATACAGGCATTTATTGTGCTTCAACAAAACCAACCAACATTTTATTTAACAATGACTGATTTCCTTCCGTCGCGTTATCTAAATCGGGAGACTTTAAAGGTTTCGCACCTACAAATCAAACATTCTTTACAATTTTAATGGATGAAGCAAAATTTATGATAAGTCTATATAAACCGATAAAAACGTCATAAAATAAAAAGGTGCGAATTCAGCGACACCGAGCAAATATTTTATCAAAACGGAAGGAAAAAAGAAATTGAAGTGGGTGAGAGGTTTCATGACGAAAAAACACAAAAGAAGACCACTCCGATACCGGTAGTGGATGTGGTGTCGGTGACAGTGATCTAACCGGATTTTAATACCTTTTCTTATTGTTTTTCTGTATTTAACAGGCAATTTCTCACTATGTAACTCCAAAATACAAACGAGAATTAACAACATGTTTGCACGAGAAATTTGAATTTATATGCAAAATGAATTTTAATGATTGTTCTACATAGTTTATGTACCTATTTACTATGTTTACCACATGTGACACCAACTGCGTTTATTTAAATTGCTCATATTTAACTGCACCATAAATTCTCGTCGGAAAATAGTAACAAGGAGCGAATCTTGCACCTGAAACAGTTCGGTCTGTTATTGTTTCAAAGTTAATGTTTGGAGAGAAAGCATACCCGACCTGTGTCATCCAATTCCGAGGAAATTCCGCTCTAAGATTTTCCCAATTTGCATAAGTATTTTTTTATTTGTTGGGGGTTGTGTCAAGCAACCTTGTACGCACTAACTGCTTCTGTGTCAAGTAATAATCGAGTTACTCAATATCATATTTTGCGCTCCAAGATCGGTTCAGTTGAATCGGATCGTTCGAACGAGTCGGTGATTCGCGACAATTTTGTGCGAGTTATGTAGTGCGTTATATCAATTGTTAGACATGGAGTGTACTTGATGAAGTAGCGAAAATTTCCCAATTGAAAAAGATTTTTGGTAGCGAAATCCGGCCTTGGTGCAATATTTGGATGTCTGTTCCGGCTCAATGCCTCTTACTTTGTTGCAAAAATTCTACGCAAATGCATTAAGGTAAAAATTTATTGTTATTGACGCGCGCCAATACTTCCATGACAGCTATAAAGCTAAGTTATGGACAATAACAGCATTGTGTGGTACCGGGTAATATGTTATTTTAAAGCAGTTGCGATACTTATCGGTTTTTATTTTTATCTATACTTTATTTCGTACCTGCTTGCTGTTGTCATTGGAGATAAAGATATATTTTACAAAGGCAAATTTTTAGATGAGTTTCTAGCAAAAGCTGTCACGTATTAAAAAAGTTTTACGTTATTGGCGAATTTTGCGCTACACTATTTTATTTGGCTTTAGAGAAAATTACTTTTTACCGTTTTGAAATGTTCGTTTATTTATGCTTCTCGGTAATCATTTTTAATTTCCCTTTTTACCGCTTAGTTTCCAGCATTGTAAACACTCGTAAAATGTGCTAGTAGATAATGAAAATTCTCTTATTTTTGCACGGACATATTCATTTTCAAATGCCATTTGCAAAATATTTGTTGAAAGTCTGTTTTTTTTGAAATTTGATTGACAAATTTAATTAATGGAATCGATATTTGCATGTGAGAGCCATCAGAGCAACCTACTCTCTTTTAATGCAAATCCTATTTTATATTTTTTGAATAAATAGGAGTTTTTTTAACACGTGTCCAAACTGCAGGGAAATAAAAAAAAGACTGAAATGGGTAGTTGATGTCGCATATTGTAAAGTGGGTCAAGTTTACCCATACACTTTGTCAGCAACTATACAGGATGAATCTTAATTTATACGCATAAACTTAGGGAATGTTAGTTTTTGACCAATAATAACGTATGGTGAAAAAAAGTTCTAGTAAAAGTTTTTTTTAGTTACCGAGGTATTGCCTGATAAAAACATATTCAACTTTTAAATTCTAAATAATATCAACATTATCATTATTTTTATTAAACTTGATATATGGTAGACAAGATATTGACTTCTTTTTTTCTTTGATTTGACATTCGATAGCGACAATAAAAGAAAAAGTTATAAACAACAATGAATAAAATGCCAAATAAGTTAAATATAACTTTTTTTTTGGAGATAATTTGAATAGTGTTTTAACAACGCCATATCGTGGTAACTAAAAAACTTTTGTAATCTGGGACTTTTTGCATTAGGTCGCATCAATTTATAAAGTTTCGCCTCTGGTAACGTTTAGATATTGAGTTACTGTGCTATACTCCTTCTTCCCTTTGTCTTGAAGATGCCCCTTAGAAGAGCGGGCGAAGCGTTGACCTTTCTTTATAAATTGACGCGGTCTAACCCACAAAGACCCAGATTTCAATCTGACTGGCAGCGAAAGACTACCTTTTTCCATAACTATCATTATTCATTCCCTAAGTTTATGCGTTAAAACTCACCCAGTATTTAAATGATTTAATTTATAGATCGCAATAGAAAATTAACCCTACTTTTATAAATTATCATAATTGTGGCATTATCACTGTTATTTTTTAGTAGTGATCTCGGTAGTAATTGTGTTTTGACAGCATACCTATATCATATCGCCTTAATCCGTGACACTTTAGATGTATTTTTTTGTAAAATAACAAATTGTTACAGAAAGAGCAGTTATACAGAGTGTTCCGTTGTTATTGTTACAAATTTAAGCAGGTGATAATTTTAAGATAAAAGTTTCCTATAAACATGTATCGAAAAATATTAAATAAGGGAGCTACATCCCTTGAAACGGGTACATCTTTTAATGAATTTCTTGAGATACTTCAGCAACCATTGTAGATAAAATTTCAAAATTTGGTACAACTGATAACCTTTATACACCCAAAAGAATTCAAAGATAAAATGTCGAAATTTTTACTCAGGGGCGACCTAAACTGGGTGGGTTTAGGGTAAAAGTACTTTGGCTATTGGTTCGTGCCACTTTCAGCCACAAAATTCTAAATTTCATAGTTTTTTACAAAAAAGAGGTCTCTTGCGTTTTTTCGATACAACTTACCGTTTTTAAGTAAAATCAGTTTACAATTTGTCTTATAGACCATAAAGAGGATACAAATTAAAAATTAAATTTGTTTCACCGTTTAAGACCCGTGATTAAAAATTTTGACAACTGATCTTTGAATTGTTATCAGCTCTACCAACTTTTGTAATTTTATCTATTCTGCAATAGTGGAAAACCCCATTAAAAAACGCATCTCTTTCAGGGGGTGTAGCTCGCTTACGTAACATTTTTTGACACATGTTCATAGGAAACTTTTGTCTTAAAATTGAATATTCTACCACCTGTTTAAATTTGTAACAATAAAAACGGAACACCATGTATTTTCAGACTGTGAAACTAACGATAGGCTTTTTATCTATTTATAAATACACATTCGTAAAAAAAATAAGACTAGTGCCTTGATCATAAATAACTATTATCTCCAAACGTCACTAAAGTGACTACATTTATGACTAAATGTCATAAGTAAATGTTTCACCATTCATCAATGGAGAAAAAATTCTATTCTTGCGCCTAAGCGTTTTCACTTTTACTATGAACATTGACCAATGTTATCTCTTCTTTGTCTTTTCGCTGCTTCAGAACATTCTGGAGAGGTACATTGTAGATCATCAGCATTCGACATTTTGCACTATTAACCCGCACTAGTCATCCATTAATTAAATCAATAAACATTTTCAAAAATCTTAACACAAATTTCGATTCTGACGCGTGACGTTTGTTATGATTTCACTGCAAAGCGCCCCAATTATTTTGTTCATTTACTTGATAATTATAGTGTTGCCCTTTGCTTTCAATCTGAATACGTTTGCTGATAAAATAAAATATGTTATTCGATTAAAAGTGAGTTTATGTGATTCAACTGAGTTATTTGCCTCACTACGTTTGGCAAAATAAACGTTCAGCTTTCCCACATAAACTATCACTTTTACTTCTATTAACATAATATACTATTACTTTAGCCAATAGACTATTACTTTAGCCATCTTGAATCGTTCAATTTTGATGTTCAGTACACCAGTTTAACCGATCTATTTTGTGTTGCCTCGATAACTCTGGAACTTTTTTTGCTGTATTAAATTTTAAAACTAAATCTAAATATCATGACTGAGTCGATATTTTTAATAACTTTTCCTAGTCTGATTAATATTTTTACCATTAACATTGTCTTTTCCTACCTATTATTTCTACATTACCTACATTATTTCTTTTTTGCCGGAATATATTATTAATATGAGTTACAGGGTGATTCCATATAAATTTGGTTGTAGTGAAAATTTGTATGTAGTGGCGACATGTTTTTGCTAAAAAAAATGCTGTTAATATATGCGATAGTATGGGAAGTTTAAAGAGGTTTAAACAAACGTCAACTATGATTAACACACCAATTTAAATTGTTAATATTTTGATTGTAAATTTTCGATAAATTGGAATTTTTGTTAACAAATTGTTATAAATATTCAGGTATTCAAGTCATTGAACCTCAAGTCTCGTTTTTTTTTCTAAATATAATCAAAATATTTAAAGATAATATGATCTAAATTATTTCGGTGACATACTCGTATCAATAAAGAATTTTGCTCACACTTATCGTCTTATCTAAACTATTCATTATTATTTACTTAGTTCTACCAAAATCAAAAACATTTATTTAGAATGTTAGTATCTCATTGTTTTCAAATCTTACAAATCAGTGACGTCAAAAACTCCAGTAATCTCCAAATCCTCCAGCCGCGAGCTTCGCGTGATGCACCACTTAATAAAGTTCCCGAACTATTTCCCCTCTAAAACCATGCAAACTTCCAACAAAAATTTTTCTAAATATAATTTACAAAAAATAAAGGTAACAAAAGGTTTTGTCGTTGAGAAATGACGTTTCATTTGAATATATTTTCGATTTAATTTATCTTTTCATGAATATGTAACTATTTGCATTATCGATTGGTACAGAGTAAATTCCTTTGAACTCATTTTGTCTTGTAGTCAATTAAAAATATTTTTCTAAAATTCAAAATAATCCACATGCACTATAAAATTATGATCGAAAATAATAATAGATGGATGAGAACCTTCCTAACTCTTTTGATTATTTTTTAAAATGCTGAAAAAACAAATAAGATTCAATCTGTTTATTTGAAACAAATTTATCTTTCCTTTCATATCCTTGAGACTACACATTTTTTCAGTCGTAATTATTTCTACTTTCTTACGCCCCTGGTCTCTCACAATATTATTGCTTACATTTTTATATTACGAAATTTATGACCACCTAAAACTGTCATACATTATTGTGCTTTTATTTCCAAATTTCTTTTCCACAAATTGCGGCTTTATGATCGTTTTACGTCTCCTGTCTTATAAATTTTATTTTTAAAGTTGGCGCCAATTATCGATCAATAAAACACCAAACTCTACTTAATTAAATCAATATTTTTTAGTAATGTAAAAAAATTTCTTGGGTTTTAGAGCACTCAGTGTTGTTTCAGTGGATAAAAATGAAAGCTTTGCCTTCTAATGTAGGGGATTCCCTTGTCAATTTTTGCTACCCTTCAAATACGTCTCTACCTTTTAATATTCATAGCTGTATTAACGCTTAAATAAGTCGACATGCAGCACCTAAATCCTCTTTCAACTTAGAAAAATCAATTTCGCCACCTCAAACTTCTTAACCCTATATTAATTATAATCTAATTTGTCACAGTAGGGGAAATACGCATTTTTGGGTGGAAAAATGTGATGCTTTTAGAAGAGTAACACGCGATTTTGCATGTCTTTTACAGACACGTTTCAATTAATTTACGTTTCTAATTTCTCCAAGGTTTTGTGGGGGTTAATGAGATTTGGGTGGTTAACGTGTTTTCGTTGTTTAAGTACTTACTAAGTACTTAGTTTATTAAAATTATTGAAAAAATAAGACAAAAAACTAGAATCCCATTTTAAAATGTCACTGCAAATTAGAGTAGCCGTCTGGAATAAACAATTGCCAAGTTTTAAATGGTATTTAAGAAAAGTGTAATGTTCCGACAGTAG